TCTTAAAGGTTTCAAATTCAGCCTCCAGGCACGCGTGATTCTCGCATACGGTCAATTAAGTTTCTAGCGGGAATACTACTCATTCAGCAGCTGGGTCATTTTCAAAAAACAACAACTAAACGGAAACAGTTTCCTTTTTATGCAAAATTTACGATGATTTGTGGTATTGAACGCAACAGGTAGGTGTGAACAATCGTTCATGCAGTAACCTAATTACTTCAAGCCCTGGTGCGTTCCAGCCTGGGTATGTAGCTTGTGTACTCCAGTAGCGTAAATCATCGTAAATTTTACCCAAAAGAAAATGAAAAATTTCCGTTGAACGGTGGTCCAATGAAAATGAGCAATTTCCCCGTCAAAACTTCGATTTACCCACATGCAAGTGTCACGCGTATTTAGGAGCTAAATTTGTAATCTTTGAATTGTACGTGGACAGGAAATAACTTAAGATTTCAGTCTTCTAGCTTTTCTAACCTCCGATTTAGCGAATATGAAACCTTCGGTTCTACTTAACTAAGGAACATTCTTCCAAATTTCCAGCTTTCCAGATTTTCTGATTCCCGATTTATTAAATTTCACGTCAAAATTTCCACGTGTCCCTATGTGCGACTTAGAAATGCTAGGATGCTAAATCTGAAATCTCCTGGTCGTACATGGGTAAGGAACATTCCCCTAAAGTTCCATTTTCCTAGCTTTTCTCATTCCCGGATTAACAATTTTCTTGCCGAAATTTTCACATATCCGTAAGCGGCACATGGACGTGCGTGACAATTGATATCACGTTCCTGAAGTCGCACTTGGCCAGAAAATACACTGGCAAAATTCCAGCTTCAAAATCTGCGTGATTGGCGAGTAGAAATACCCGGACAGACGAACACACAAATATACACAAACAGACAGGGCCGTTGCGATATGCGTTTTTGTCGCCTTTTACAGCGCTCTAGCGCTGCAAGGCAAAACAGCATGAAAAACTTACATGCACATAATACTTCTTTTTACATCGTTCGTTTATGCGTTTGAGGTCAATTGGAAATTTGATATAAACATAATATTCGGGGACTTCCTTTGCATTAACCGGTTCTACAAAAGGCCAAGATGACCGATTACTCCTCAGCTTATGCAAGATGCTTCGAATCTTCTTCTGTAGCTGCGCATGTGGTACGGAATCCTCAGCACATTGTTCCAGACCTGCCAGCTCCATAAACGGAACTAAAGAGCCTGCTGAAAACATGGCAGAAAGTAAAGTTGAAAATCAAAAACACCCACACACTTCACTTTCTGGGGGTGCTTAAGGCAATAGAAAAACAACTTCAAGAACTTACAAAAAACATGTGTATAATTAAAGCTGTTTTCGGAAACACAGAATGCTCTCGAGGTTAACAGAGATGCAACAATAGTTGCTCACAGCTATGCACAAGCTTTTAAATGGTTTGACTTTGAGTCGCGACTTAAACCACTTTGCAAGACGTCACAACGGAAATGCCCTGAGGAAGAAGTACCAAGACCATTAAGGCTACTTGGGTAATCGGTGTGGATATACCCCGTTAGCGTTGTTACTAAAGTGCTCCCAGACGATAGATGTAGCTGAACCAAGCCCATCGATACTGCGCTGCATGTCTTCAGTCGGTGCAGATGCTTCAAAAAACGTGAGCAAAAAATTATCCTGGTTACCCTTTTCGATTAATACACGAAACAAAATGTTGAAAGAAGTCCCGTAACATGAAGAGTCTGTGTACTTCGCATAATTCAAAATTATTCTTGCCAGCCGCTTCAGCACATAAACACGGCGATAGCGACAGCAGCATTTTCACTACAGACATGCAAAAAGCATTCCACATCACGCTCCACCAACTAATTTAAGACAAATATGTAATCCTCTGCAGGTATCACATTTCTACTGAACACTACATAACAGCTGCTCCTCTCAGAACCTGCACAGCACCTTCTTGACCCGGTCTTACGTATACAGTACTTTCATAATTCTTGGCTACATGCCCATGAAGGGGTTTTGGTACCTGTACAGCGCAAAAAGACCGTGACTGCTATCATCCTACGCTCCTTTTCTCTCCTCTACCTAGGCAGAATACTAAGATATGTGTAGCAGCTGGATGAGGAATATTCCGAGGGAAGCATGGTT